CCAGGCAGTATCTACATGATTTCCCAAATGTCAATGTCAGGGTTTGCTTGTCCGCAGAAATATACTATAGATCAATTGGCTTGGGGGTCGCACATTTTTTTGAGCAACACCCCAAATCCCACACACACACAACCCTGCTTGCTAGAAAAAAGGAATCAAGATCCACCTAAAAAGTCCCCAAATCTCTGGAATCTTGTGCGGCCGCCTCTTCGTAGATCTCCAAGAGCAAAACACATCAAGGACACACTGAGATTCGTTATCCTTTAGGTGCTAGGACTAGTGACTTAGTGACTAAAATACTACTGTAGTACTATACTATAGTTACTACTAGTCCAGTGTGTCCAATGCATCCGAGCTCATCAATCTATTCATGTCCACCTCCACATGCCCACCTAAAAGGAACGGAAGATGTGCACAAAAAGGGCGTCCTCCCAACTAGAAAGAAGCAATCAGCAATGCTCAAAGTGTTCAATCCACGTCAATATGTTTAAAGGGTTGTGTCACGCGGCGCTTTGGAGGGGAGAAGTGTATGCCCTAAAATTTACAGCTTGACTGAAATTACTGCTACTAGTAGCAAGAAGCTACTAGGTGGAGGCCATCGCTATTGGGTTGGAGGCCATCGCCACTAGTAACAAGAAGCTTAGGTCTAGGTCGAACACCTCTACCCCACTGGGCCCGGTCTCTGCCAACCCTTTGCTGGGCTCCCCCGACCGCGTCCGCCAAGGCCTCCACGTAGCGACCCAGCTGGGCCAAAGCGCCTCCGTCGAGACCACAAGGACGGCGGGAACTCTATCTGGCTCTTCAAAACCATATGCCATATGCCCATTCATCCAAGCTCCCCCAAGTTGCTTCTCAACCTTCAGTGTAAACCCATGTGGTCTTCCAAAGATAGTTCGAACATCAAAGAACCATCAACATCCAATTGAGTGGCACCCCTTTGGACTGCCCAGACAGACTCTAAACCTGTTGGATCCCGGGCCGGAGCGGTTGGAGAAGAGCAGGGCGCTGTCGGGGTCCGCGCGGATCGCCTGAGAAGGGGCACATGGGGCCCCCTTGGGGCACCTGTGGGGGATTCTGAAAGGGCACCTACTGTGATCCGCTAATACAGATCGAGCGAACGCAAAGACATCAAGACATCTGGCAGGATTTTGTGTCTTAGCTGAGCCTAATCCACCTGACGATTCTGTGATGTTCTGTCGTGGTGCTCAGGTGCTTCCGCGGTGATGTTTTGCCCTGAGGTGAAGATGCACGACATGTGGCGCACAACGACCCAGGCTGAACGTTGGTGCGCAAATGCCACATGAACTGCTTGAGGGAGTCAATACCCAAAAGGGTTGGGCAAAAGTTTCTATGTTCAACCACTTCAGATCACGAAACCAACAGTTGCTCTTTCAAACTGCGAAACGCCCATGCATCTATGCGTCCTCCCCGGGCCTGCGAGTAGTAATCATAGGCCTCTTGATACCTGGACATCAAGACACACTGGACTGGACCGAAGTGGCGCTGTTGGTTGGGGGTAACCACCATTGAGACACAATTCATTGAGGTATCCACGCACCCCCTGGCCCTATTCTGAGCTGTACCCACGGTCTATGTCGAGGCAAAACAAACTTCAGCAGGCAGTCCTTCCGGCGGAGAAGGAAGAGTTTCCTGCGTCCTGCCAATGCTTTCAAGCTGTGTCTCGCGATTGGGAAGACCAACTTCAGCGACTGAAGTCGTTCCTGTTCGACGTCTTCTCGAGTGGGTCTCTTGAAATGATGCACCCGTTGCGAAACGAAAAAAAAACGAGTGTGCAGACCAGCATTGGCAAAGCAGCACCAAATCTGACTGCTGATCGGGATAGTACATCATCCACACGGCCCAACCAAAATCCGAGCAGAGATATGGAGAGATTCCGCTTTCAAGGTGTCATGTGCTTTGAATCGCTAAACCGCACCAATTACAACAGGAGCAATTCGATCAAACACAACAAGCCAAACATAAAACTTTGCAATTCCAGGTAGTTGCACAGGGGTGGCATTTCCAGGGGCTGCCAGCATTCCCCTTCGGACAAAGTTGCGAGTAGAAGAACATCCGACATTGACATGTTGCAGGAAACATGTTGCCAGTGCATGCCACCTGACACTCGAATTAGTATATGTAGTAACCATGCAGGCGTTCGTTGGGTCAACGGTCTGTGTCCGTGGAACTGGCTGCTCCAAAACGGCATGGTGGGAACTGGAACCAGTTTTAGATAGTTTTAGTACAGGTTTGGGACTCGTGTCACTTGTAGCAATTTTGGACCTTCACTTGTTACATCATGCCACAGTTAAATTAAACCAAGCATTCTATGTCTTCCATGGTCCAATCCTCAACATAGAGCCAGAGCTCACTGGAGCTCACTAGCGCACTTACCCGAACGAACTCTGCACAATGAAATGGGTTCCATTCCACGATCACCTTCAAGAAGGCATTTAAGCAGCCGTTTCATTTGACAAGTTTGTTTACATTTCTTGGCTATTTTCACACAGCCTACATCAGCCTACCCAAGCATAGCATTTGGCTCATTGTGCGCAACAAACATACACCTTGCAGCAAGAACTCTTTGCAGTTTCAATCCTCTCAGCACTTTTGGTTGATAACTTCAAAGCCTGTAGGCTGTTCCAAGAACTCACCTGCGCACTTCGTCTCAGGTCAGTGAAGTCCATTCCCCGCCTTCGCCGGTGCAGCCAAATCGTTACAACTCGGCCTTGAGCCATCGGGGATGGCGGACCAGTTGCCGAGGGACGGGGTGGAGTGGTTCACTCGGATGTTTTCTGGTTCACTCCCTCATTACAATCTGCATCTACATCCCAAAAAGTTCGTTGATGGGTTTTTTATGGTGGTTCATTTAAGAAACTTGTACTCACAAAGAGAGTTGCTTGATGTAATACATTTCTATGCGTTGAAGAGACGATGTTGTCTTTCGTTCATGACGGAGACTCAGTGGATGTTCAGTTACTGATTGTGCACTTGAACCGAAACCTCTTTTGAAGAAACCCACCCCCCCAACAAGTGAAGCAATTTTTGAATAGAACACTGTCGCATCTGCACGCCACGCAGATCACCGTGGGTCTCTAAGAAGGGCCCCCGAGAGCCACGGTCCCCGAGAGCCCAGCGCGTCTGCCATGGCGCGTGGCGCTGGAACGGACGCGCCGAATGGCGGAGGTGTGGATCCAAATGCGTCAGAAGGGGAGGTGGGTGGGTATGGCTTGAGAATTCTGTACCCCAAAACCCTGCTGGTGCAAGAAATTGAACATCCAGTTAAAGGTTACAAGAAAAAACTCGAAGAACTTTGACCACTTTTCTACTGCCAACAGGCATGTCGGCATGTCGGCAGTTTGCACCTTGTTCTGCTTCAGTTCTGTCCATGGCCCTTAGACTGGCTAGTCACTTGTCAATACAGAAGCTTGATCCTCAATGCGGATTGCTTGTATGTCCTGAGAGCCCGTCCGAATTGGGCGACTTCTCCTCATTCATCAAGCCACATATGACAACTAATATTTGACTATGTCACTGTGGAAAGCACCGACTGCCGTTACAATGCTTTCAGGTCGTTATGATCTCTATGGATGTTTCTACGTTGTCATTCCTGACATAATGGAGAAGACCCTTGGGCCCAGCATCGGCGACGAAATCCGCATCCCTCGATACCTTATCAAGAGCTCACAGAGCGTAAGCACGTTGCTTGATTAGTCATCCAGCGTAAGAACTATATGCAACATGTACAGTAACAGCGTATCACCTACCATGTGGCCATATGGACTACACATGTGTTGCTTATATAAACCGGAAATGGAAGTTGCATCGATGGGAGAAACGCAAACGGACTTACTGTCCGTGCGACCGGCGAAGGTGAGTCGCAGGGGAAACAAAGAAGGTCACCACCGCAGAAGGTCACCGACAACGTATGAATATGAGAATCATCGAGAATCCCGAATGCATAAGATTGTTAAGAAATCCCGGAGTTCTGCAAACGTAACCCCTAAGTCCATAAGAATCGAAATCACCGATCTTCTCCGAGATCAATATCATTCAATATCTGCCAGTACATCAACAGGTCAGCGTTGGACATGTAATTGCATTATGTATCTGATATTTACCAAGAAAGATCAAACATGTTGAAATCAGCCCCAGAGGTCAGCAACTAGCCCTTTTCCTCTACTGCTACGACATGCTACGACCTTGTTCCAACGTCAAAGCATGTCAAAACAGTGGATAGCCAGGATTCACCAACAGCTTGGCTAGAGCATGTGAACATCCACTTCAGTCCAAGTGGAGGGTCATGCGATGCTGAAGTCGATCGCTTGCGACGAAGCACCGAACCGAAGCACCGCTTGGGAGCTTAAGGTTTCGCCCCAAGAACCCGGTCCTCACCCCGTGTGTGGCGTTGCTAGCTTTCAAACACGACAAACCCTGTCTTTCTTGCTTTGCAACTGTCCTGGTCGCACACTGACAACTTCGCTGAAAAGAGCAAGGTTCAATCTATATAACAACTATGCACCAAATTATGTCTGAAGTACTGAACCGGTTCAAACCCAAACTGCACTTTCTTCAATCCCTGCCTGTCCAAGCTTGGATCTTCAAACAGCAGACTTGAACACTTTTTGGCCGTTTGCAAGTAGTAGGTGTCACTGATCGTTGATCGATTGTGCTGATGAAAGGTGTGCTCAGTGCCCCCCCCCATCACATTCGCCCAACAATCCGTCATAAACAGCTCAGGCCCATTGATGAGCCTGGTTTCCTCCAAACCAAGCAACGAACAGAATCGCGACTCCAGACTTTGGGGATGGAAACCACATTTGGAAGAAACCTAGTAGGAAACAAGAAGCTAGTAGTAACAAGTGCCACGCTAGTAGTAACAGGTGCCTTACTAGTAGTAACTTAAGAAGCTAGTAGAAACAAGAATTTTGCTCAAAAACCTTAAGCACCCACATCCTCACCCAGTCCCCGCGGTCCCACGCGAGACGCGCATCCCCCACCGCTGGAACTGATCACGCTTCGGCTCGTGGCCTCGACGGGGGAAGAGGTCGACGTCTGATTCGGTAACCAAACGATCTGATTCGGTAACCAAAACCGCTGATTCGGTAACCAAAACTGCTGATTCGGAAACCAAAACCAGGAAACCAAAGCCAAAACATTTCCAAAAGAAGAAACTGATGACCCGGGTGGTAGTAGTAGTAGTAGTAGTAGTAGTAGTAGTAGTAGTAGTAGTAGGTGGTAGTGCCACGATGCAAAGTCTCTCCGCGAAGCAACAGGAGAAACGTTATTATCTTGGCCATGATTCCCCCCACCCACCCACCCAACACTCCTCCTGCCGTCCGCCACTAATTCTTACTTGAATGAATGTAAAAGCTCTTTGCATCCACATGGAACGTTATTATCTTGGCCATGAACCCCCCCCCACCCCCCACACCCCCACACCCCACACTGCTCCTACCCTCCACTCTGTTCAGCCAGATGCTGTTGATACAAGTTAACTCATATATGAATGAATGTAAAATCCCTTTGCATCCACATGGAACGTTATTATCTTGGCCATGGCACCCCCCCACCCCCCCCCCCCCCCCCCCCACACTCCTCCTGCCGTCCACCACTTACTTGACTGAATGTAAAAGCCCGTTGCATCCACATCGAACGCTATTATCTTGGCTTAGTTTCTGAACAGTCTAACTTGGTTTCTGAATCGACTGTTTTGGTTTCTGAATCGGCCGTTTTGGTTTCTGAATCGGACTGTTTTGGTTTCTGAATCGTAGTTGCCTGAGCGGTTGGTTTCTCAATCGGCTAATGACCGGGGGAAGAGGGTCGGATTTGGTCCGATGGTTTGGAAGAACGTAAGCTGCAGTACATCCAGCAATTCATTCTAGAATAAGGACTAGAATAAGATAGAATAAGTGTGAATCCATGGGCTCTTCGGTGTTCTTTTCTGCAAGCTAGCAGACCCACCAAAGGCCAAACACTTTCCAATGATTTGTCAAGTGCTCATGAGTCATAAGTCATATATGGGAATGGGTCTTCTTTTGGACTTGTTCAACCTCTGCGAACAGATCTTCGCTAAAGGCTAAAGGATACTGAAGGTGTGTGTGTGTGTGTAGGTATGTAGGTATGTAGGTATGTATGCATGTAAATATTGTATATATATTATATATAGAACACATTAGCATACATTAGCAATAGAAAGCTTGGTTTCCGACCAGCACGACATCTGCAACTTCAACCAGGCCAAAAAGAAAGACGTTGCTTTAAATTCAGCATTTGCTTCAAATTGGCGTCTCATCGACATGAGTCCTACATGTTTCTGGCCTTGAATCATGGAGCATGACGGAGCCCTTCGGAACACCCTGAAACATCTCCGTCTCCCCGCTTGGGCAAGCTCACCTGTTTGACTCATGGAGACTGACTTCTCGACACACCCGGTGGTGTTTTGGATCTGTAAAGCTGCGCATCTGTGAATCTTTGAGAAGTGTGCAGTTCCCGGCAGTTTGGGTTCCTGACATCAGGATGTGTCTTACAACGAAGTCTATGACAAGCCACTGAGGCCACTCAGCTCTTTTCTGCCACCCCACTCCACCAACTCAGCCGCCACGAACGACCACCGCGCCAGACCGCACATCCATCGCCTCTCGAGAAGTGGGTGGCGCTGGCACGGGGACCAACCAAAGATCGCTGCTGAGTTCCTGCACCTTCGGATGCGAGTCGTACCTGTCGATGGCGCAAAAAGTGGTGGCGTTTGTTCGGAACGTGCCCGCCGCGGGACCGGCGCAGCGCGTGGGGTTTCTGGGACTGTAGAGGATCCTGAAGAGGAGTCCGTCAACGACACAACCTTGCGCCAGTTTGTAGGACAGGCGATCACATCTGCACATGGGCTGGTGGAAGACCTCTGTCGCGATGGTCAATTTGGTGAACGTGCTTCTTCTTACCAACCTATATTTGAATCAGAACAGCCATGGCATGAGTGCAATTGGTGCACAAAAAACAGCACCTGGAGAGTGGATGTGAAGCGGTTGTGAGTGGAGATTGTAGCTATGGATGGGCATCCCAAGCTCTGATTTGGCCGATCACTTGCTTGACCTGGTGAAGGTCTTTCGCCACATGGTCCAGGTTTTGACCCCCCATTGAGTTGCGGAGGTCAAGTTTGTTGAGATCTTCCCATCATAGAGTGTACTGCGTTTTCGGAAACAGGCAGTGCCTAGTCTGGGTGTGGTTCGGAAATGGGTCATTCTTCGAGAACAGGGTACACTCCAAACTGACTACTGACCCACAAACTTGGCAAAGGGAAATCAATCCAATCCTATGTTTCCGATGTTTTTGACCCGCAAACCATCACAAGACGGACCGCGTGCGGAAACGAACGCGAACGCGGACGCGCACGTGAGCTGATGAGCTTGAGCAGCTTGAGTCGAAGTCAAACAACAGCAAGACATGACCTTGGTGGTCATGAGCACTAAGGGATAAACTAGGAACAAGGTTCGCCAATAGGGGCTCCTGGCATCCCTACTAGGAGCAAGGATTCTACTAGTCATTGGAGTCTCAAAAATGTCTTCCCGAGACAAATACAGGAATCCATAGGACTTCCATGGCCCCCCGCCTCTGAGCACGCGACGTGTCTCACGACTCCTTCCATAAACTCCAAGCGCCTGAGTGCCATGCGAGGCCGAGCGGCACTAAGAAGGCCATTTACAAAGGATTGGACCTTGAAGGACATTGAAAAAGTGTCTTCGATTCAACTAAGAACCTTCAGTGGGAAATCATCGTGAAACGATCGTGAAACGGTGAAACCCACCGTTTATCCGAGGATCCATGCGGAGCAAACGGAGTGTCCCTCCACCTGTGTCTTTCTCAAGAGTATAGGGGAACCAATTTCGTTCCAAAAGAATGAGACTGGTCTCCACTCCCTCATCTCCAGCTATGATCTGGGTCCTGATTTGGCTGGGAGGTGCTCTCCCTGGAGCCCCTTTCAGCCCGGTCGGTTGATCTCCCTGGTAGGTCAACCAGCGTCCCCCGGCTTTGACCACAGCCATGTATGTAAACTGGTCAGTTCAGAGGGGTAAGAACCGTCCTTGCCAGGGCTGTTGTGTGTGGGTAGAGAGAAACCTATATATATATAGATATGATCCTATCATATCCTCTCTGCATGGACACACATGCCATCGACCACAAAACGACTGCGACCAAGGTCTCCACCCATGTGCGCAGAATTATCCGGTCACAGGAGCTCAAGCATTGCTTGTTGGAGAATCCAGACACCTACCGAGCCCGCGTCTGAATTGGTTGAAAAACGATGCCAACATGCAACATGCTCATTAAATCTCATGAAGCACGTGCAAGGACCTTCGAAGTCCAGGAGCCGAATGCTTTTCCGCTTCTCCGGTCTTGTGTGGTCCTAGATCTGGGCCTTGGCGAAGATCTGCTTCGTTGGCAATACGGAGATTTGGGTGTTGGTCAAAAAGGTAAGCAGTGTGTTGCCAAGTGTCAAGAGATGAGAAACCCCCGGCAGTGCTCTGGGCCGAAAACCACGGGTATACCGGCTGTCGGTGGCGGCAAAGAAGAAACCGCAACGACCACCCCTCAAGTGGTTGGAGTTCCTCCCCCTTAAATGCCGGGACAACCCAATTCTCAGGCTCTCGGTCCCTCACTTGCCACATACAGAATGATTTTGACACCTGTATGAAAAGTGTGTAAAGTGAAAAGCCTGCACCATCGAGAAAACACCAGCTGCACATCCCGGTCTACAGCAAACTACTCTGACACCATGGCGGAGGGCAGGGGGTTCCTTTGGAAGTGGCCACGAAACGTGTGCTGAACTTCATTGGACGGATCATGTTCCCAATAGGACTTCATGTGATGTTCCCAATCACAGAGAGTCGAGTGAGTGAGACATAGCACTGTCAAAAACGACATGATGTCTGGTAAATGAAGCAGGAATGGGAATCGGGCAAATGCACCCTCCATAATACAGGTTTTATGATGGTTGTACCAAATTGCGTTTAAAAGAGGGTTGCCTCATGGTGCCTCTATAGTCTAAGAAACAAAGTCGGAAAGCTGTGTCTCAACACTCTTCCCCATAGAGCCTGACAGTCTCCTCCAACACATAGAACCACATATAATTACCTTTGCCGCCCACAACTGACAACATTGGTGGTAGATTCATAAAAATCATCATAATTACATCCCCCACATCCTGGAAGTCCTCCACATTCCTCTCCCTGTACATACACCACTTCCTGTAACAAAGACCAACCAACGAAGAAAGCATGACTTCTTCGACCGTTTTCGCTGGACTTTCTTCGACGGTCTTCGCTACCACTCGTCGGCGACGTGACACGGGTGCGCTGGCGACGCCGGCGCTGGCGCTGTTGGCGGACCGGGGGGGGGTCCTTGTAGGCGAGGTGGCCCTAGCTTGTGATGACTAAGCACTAGTCACTACCCAGCTGGTAGATCAAGTCCATCATCTTCGAACAATACTTTGCACCAGCGAGGGCGGAACTCCTGTCGAAATATTCAACCACGTTGGGCTGCTTTCACAGGCTATAAGAAAGAATCTCACAAATCGGCGTCAAATCTATTGTGCTGGAATTCTGGAAAGCTTTGGGTTTGAGGGCCATCAAGGGAGACATAGGAAGACTGTCATGATCGCAACATAAGAAGCTGTGTAGATATCTGTTTGAGTGGTACAGTATACATGCCCGTGATCAACAGGGGCTGCTGCCTTGGACTCTGATTTCACCAGAAAACCAGCGTTTGGATTGCCCTTCCAGCATTCAGAGATTCCAGCATTCAGAGAGTTCAGAGAAGGATGCTAGTTCCAACCACCAAGACCTGAAATGTCACAGGATATATACTGGTATGTTCAAACAGTTTTAAACCATGATCTCATGGAAATGAAGTTGAGTCGAGACTCCCCAACTGCGGACCTTCCAACCAGTCCGACTGCGGAAAAAGACCAGACCCACGAGTACCGGTCAAAGGAGGTGATGTCGAAAATCCCCAGGCCGATGACCCCCCGGATCTAATCAATTGTGTGGGAACCAACCTGTGGCCCCAGGATTGGTCAAATAAAGATTGGTCTCAACCACAAAAGCCAAACGCATGTTTCTCCAACACAACATCTCAATAGTCTATTGCTGTAGATCTGCAGTCTCTAGCGGAACGCTACGTGTATGGTATGTGTGTTGATCAGGGTTTCTTTGTTGTGGGATGCTAGGTTCATATGTCGCTCCTATCAGGCAACCGGACTCTGCCGCTCTCTGAAAGCGGAACACTGCACGGCGCTAGCTCAGCTGTGGTCTCAAAGGAACTCCCAACCTGGTGGTCCCACCCCCTGTGAGTGGGTCTCTTTCCTCAGCTGTGGCATGAGGTGCATAGGCCCAACAGAAGTCTTTACACCCGCGAAGATTAACGTGGAACCTGAAGACTATTTTGTTTTCCTCTACAACCCAGAGTGGTTTTCAGGTTCCATGTTAATCTTCCAGGGTGTAGTATTGACTCACAACCTGGAGGAGGGCAACATCAACTTCCAAGTTGATCTGGGAGTGGCTAGGTTAGTTCAGCGGTGTGTTGCGGTGTGCAGTCTATCTTCCTATCAGTTGCTTTGCATCTCTGCAGAGGTAAAGGCTGCTGCTTACCGCAGCACAGGTCTGGGTCGCAGCCCGAGTCTGCCATTGGTCTTGTGGGATTCCCACACGACCAGTGGTTGGTACAAGACATATGGTTTCAACAGATGTATGGTTGCCACATTGTCATTGCTAGTTGTTGGGTGTGCGTGTTGTGGGTGCGTGTGGGTGTGGCGTGGTGTGCGTGTGGGTGTGCGCGCGCTCTTCACACAGGTCTGGCTGAGGAGCTGAAGGGTTTCACAAGGCTTTGCACGTGATACTTGACAAGGTGTCTGTCCGATTGGAGTACGCCACCAGAATGATGGGCATGTTTCAGAGGCGACGTCTTTGGAATGCTTTGTGGAAAGGTGAAGAAGCATATGGCATATGCAAAACAACTTGAGATGAGTACCCCTTGGCAATCTATTTTAACTTGGAAACACAGGGTCCTGATCAAATAGAATTTTGGAATCTTGAAAAATATGACAGCTGTGAGCTGTTTCGATTGAAATGTTCCATATAGATCCATAGTCTACTTGGGGATAATCCCGCTGCATCACACCGACTCCCGACGTCTCCCCACCACTTCGATCTGTGGAGTCCCAAAATCGCTGATCAAACCAACATCAGCCAACATCCGGCTGAGGCTTTAAATGTCCTGTTTGGAAGACGATAGGCCGATATCAAATCCCTGAAATCGCTGAATGAGGCACAAAAGGAAATCAATGGAAATCATGTCTGATCCCTCCTTCCTGTCCATTCCTTTCTTCGTGTCCGCCCCTTCCTGGCCTCGTGCGAAGAAGGACTCATTCTCCTGGCATTGAACGAATCACTTTATCTAAAGGAAGATGGAACCTTCTACGATCCTGTGTCTGGATGGTTCATAGACACACGACGAACGAAACCACTGGTGGTGGGGAATGTAACCTCTTCCGTCTTGGAGCGTCTCTCGGTCCATGTTGTTGGGTTGATCTTCTTGGAGGAGCTGTTGAGATTTGTGCCATGGCTTGCTTTGAGCAATTCGCATCCCAGAGCATCAAAGCGCACAATTGTTTCTCAAAAGTCAGGCAAACATCACCACGGTCATTTGAAGAAGTTCCAATTTCTTGGCAACGAGTCCAAATCCCCCTAAACCTGCCCAAGGAGAACTGCTACAGACGTCTCGGATCTCGCATTCAACCTCTCCCCGGCCACGGTGCCTCCGGATGGTCATCTTCGACGGTTGGAGCACCTCCAGACATGACCCGTGAAGAAGCCGGGGGCCCACGGGTCAAAATGCTCCGAGAGCTTTCGAAAGGACTGGTACCCTCCATTCAACAAACATGGAAGTGGAACATGGGCCCGAAAGGAAGACTGTTTTCCTCTAAGAACAGGCCATGTTCCACTTCCATGCTTAGGACTGGTACTGGCTTCCTTTCCAACAAGATGTTTGGTCACATCGGCCCCTGATGGTCACGGAAGCTTCAAACAGGTCACAGAAACTGGGCTGGTGGCTGAAGGACTACCAAGCGCAACATGGGCAGGGCGCAGATCATGAATTGCTCATGTTTTCCCTACAAGGTGTTTCTTCTCCTAGTATCTATTTATCTATACACTTACTTACAGTAGTGCAAACCACCATCATCATCGCCTCGTTTGTTCGTGGCAAAGGTGCGGGGAATAAGGTGAGAACACCGGCATGAAGCAAAGCTACGCCTAGTTGCCATCCCGGAACAATAGCTGAAAGAAATTGACACTTCCAACTCCCTGGGCTTGGGCAGCCACTTTTGGAGACTGGCATCTCTCAAACGTTCTAAAGCGGGCCATTCCGGATCCCGATCGGACCCACCTGCCACGTTGAGCGCTGAAGCCTTGCAAAGCTGCGATGTTTTCATTTGATCGACAGTTTTTTCCAATAGTTTGGAGGCCTTCGACGTGACAAGTGGATCGACGGGCACGGGGAGTGCTGTTAGGGCTGCAAGTTGGGTGTGGAGGTCTAACAGGTCTCGTTTGATGCATCTTGGGTCCTGAAGCCGTGGATCAAACCACTCAAAAAGAACATTGAACTGCTGAGGTGAAGATTCCTCGGATGTTAACCAGAAGAGGAACCGGGTTAGAGCCGGGAACCGAAAAGGCAAGTCGTCGTTCAGCGAATCCTGCATGATACTTAGGGATGTGTGGTTTTGACCCCCAAATGGACCAATTATGACACTTAAACCACCAAAAGACAAGGCATCACAGCACCCCTCTCTTGGCCAAGACCCTGCCGTCGATTTGAGACTCTGAGTCTCCAGACGCCGGAGGCAAGGCCCTGCAGTCGCTGATGGCGTTGGAAAATGCGGCTTTGAGGCTTCGGACCCCCTAACTTCGGGCTTGGTCAAAAGCCTAACATCAGCGGCCAAGCCTGACACGTTTCCCGAGGTTTGATGCTTTTTGTCCCAATTTCCCCCACCACTGCGGGGGGGGTCCTTTTTGGGGGTCCTATAGGGGAGTCCTTAAAACCACCTCCAAAACCGAGGCAAAGTGGACATATCTACTGCCATCGCTTGACGTGTGATGACTTCTCAGATGGACAGAGGCCGGAAAGGCTGTGGAAAGCCGGTGGAACATCCATGGGCACTATCCACGTATCATGCTACAAAACTCCACATGCAGCGTCTTCCAGAAGAGTTGCCTACCAATCTGCATCACCTACCTTTCCGCATGCCGCCCACTCTGCGCCCACTCTGCCCTTCAGTTCCACCCGGTCGCGGTCATCTCGTCCGCCTCACGCCGAGTTCGTGGGGATGCCTCGCCCAGCTGCGGCGCCGACCTCGACAGCGGCGTCTGGTTACTGGTTACAGCGGGGTACCTGGGTGGGTGGTATTGAGCAAGAGTCGAATGTTGACTCCCACCAAAAGAATAGAATGGGAAATCGTGTCATCCAGGTGTACCCTCCATTTAAGAATCCATTGATGAGGTGGCCTGTGAGTTCAGACTTTCCACATAAGCTATCACAGGGCATGAACTGAGTTGCGCAGGAGTCCTCTCTTCCGTTATCAGCTTGGATGTAGCTGCTCCCAGGGCATTCAACAGCCTAAAGTCCTCAGGATGATCGCACATCCAACAGACTCTCTTCGTTCATGGCGAGGACATCTGTGAATCTGACCTCAAGCCCTGACCACCGTATCTGCGCTCGCCTTGACCAAGAAGTTGAAGCAAAAGGCTTCTTCTTGCCCCAAGGCCACATACCTCCCGGCCAAAAACAGTGTCGCCACCCTTTGCACAAGAGAAGTAAAATGCCTTTTAATATGATATGCGGGTGCGGATGTAGTGATTGACTTGAATTGTCAAAAAGGTCCTTGTCTGCCATCTCTCCACACGCAGGTTGAGCAAAGTACACAACGAAGTGAAGTGCCTACTATACGGTCGAGTGGTCCTAACTGGTGGCAAGATGTGGCAAGTGTCCACCAAGTAGCAGCTCAAAACTCCAAAGTGGGATATGAACATCGCCAAGTAGTACCGGTACCCTATTCTGTTTTGCTTGGAAAGACTCGGTTCGTTGTACTCACATCAGACAAACTCTTTGGAAACACGATCTGAAGGGATCTTGGGGTACCTATTCTTTGACCGCAATCTGAAGACACACCACAAGCTGCCCGGCGCACCGCTCACCCATCGGTAGTACCAGGGCGAGTGCTCGTTCTGGCACGCACGAGCTGCTCGTCAGTCGCGTTCGCTGGCCGAGCTCAGCCGGGGGACGCTGACTGATTCGGCAAAACATAGGAAGAGCAAGAAGTAAGGAAGTAAGTAGCCAACATCTAAGTCTGCCAAGAGTGGTCAATACACTATACGTAGAGGCAAATGAAAACCAGCGGGCATGTTCTTTTTCCTCGGATTCCTTCTGTCTCTTCCTGTATAGTTCTGCTTTGGGGGGCTAAGTACTTGTTGCTTCATGTTGTTGCCCAGGGTTTTGCATGAAAAGTCTGAACTCGCACCCCCAGGGAAAATTGGGAACCAATGATTTGAAACGTCAGTGTTCCCCTTCTGGGTACCCCATCTGGGTATCCTCCAAATTATCGCATACACATTCACATACAGCTCATCAGCTAGAATTGATCACCCACCACTCGCATTTATATCTGTTCTCTTTTCTCCTGAGGCCTTTGGGACCTCGGGAGGGAGACGTCCATAAATTGATGATAGTTGGCACCGATACCCCTCAGTCCATTGTTAAACATGGTCAAACTGACCCTCTGACCATCCTACACCATCTGCATCCGCCAAAGTACAGAGTCGCGCCCAAGCCGCTCGCGACCTCCCAGGATTCATCAGAGTCCAAGTTCCCATCGTCCTCCACGTTGGAAGGTCGCAGGTACCTACAGCTTTCGCCATGGCTCGCAGATTGCAAGGATCACCTGAACCAGAGGTCGTAAAATCCGTGGTTGGTCTCCTGTCACATACCCACATCAATCTACCCACTAGATAGTCTTAGACCCCATCCATGCAAATTCTGTACACAAATCTAGAATGGAATTTGGCGATCAAAACCAAAAGGCAGGGAAGTCATGGATGCGATCTAGGACTCTCAAAGCGATAGTGGTAAGGTGCCTCAAAACCATCCCTACAAGCTCAAAAAGAACGTGGCTTGGTGGGGTTGGTGCCCTGTGCAACCAACAACTCAGGCATCAAAAAACTGCTCTGCTGAAACTCTACCCTGCAGCTTTGACGAGGAAGTTCTACTAAATCCTGCACGTGTCCACCTGCTGTTAAGGAGTAAATAGACCGGGGAGGTCTTTTGCAGGAAAAGGACATGTTTCTATCTACTCGAACAAGAACAACTCGAAGTCATCTGTGGGAGCGCCAACCATGACTTGCAGGCAATGACGAGTGATGACCCACAACAATCTTCATCGAAAAGCTTCTCCACGGGCACTGCAGGGTGTCGTCGGGAATATGTACATGCTCGGTGTGTTTCATTAACCTCAGCGGCAAGCCAGTGGCACCAGTCAACATGAATATACATGAATTCAGCCTACATGGTCTATATACGTGAGATCACAACTTGGCACCAAGGGGATCAGGGCCAACTACGGAGAACATCTGCAGGTGGGGAGGCCATGATGAATCATGAAATCAAGCCCCTACGAAAGGCCGCTTCTACCTGGAAACACTTCCACATAGTGTCGACTATTTCGTTTCCACACCTGGCTGATTGGTCTGAAAAAAGGAATTCAAGTTGCTCAGGCTCCCATCTATTTGACCTACAAGTATCAATTGTTGAGGGAATCGCAAGTGTTCCTCACATCCTGGTTCGCTCGTGGTGTTCAAGCCTCTGAAAAAATGGTCCATGCATCCTATGAATCTCGGAATGTACCGGGACGCTAGGCTGGCCAATGGGTCAATGGGTGATTTGGGATTTCTCTCCATGCAGACACGAAAACCATCCAAACCACCTGGGAGGGAACTACGTCCTGTCACAATCGAACTATCAACTTCCCTCCTCCCATGAATCAACTGTCGGTCAAACAGAGCCTTTGGGCTCATCCACAACTGAGGGATCAGTCTCATGGGACGAGATCGGACGAGAGGAGATAGGTCAGTTTGCTTCACACTATGCCCATTTATGGTGTTGAAACCACGACGCGCGCCCTTGGGACCACGAAAAAGACCTTGTTCAAGAACACGACGAAATGGCATTGATAAATGTATGAATCTATGAAGTAAAATAAAATAATGAGCGAATAATTACATATATGTGACACTGCGAAATGACATTGCTATGATGGACGAATCGGGAAAATCTGTCCATCAGATCATCCCTGGCGACTCTTCAGGGGCTCCGCGCAGCTGACCAATCTTCACTGCACCGAGCTCCCCATCCTGGCGCGGGCGAGCGGACCCGGTGGACCCGGTGGACCCGGTGAGGGCCCCAAAAAAGGAGACGACTCAGCCGGTAGTCTCATTCATTGCCCATTCGGTCGCCCCATTCTCATTGGCGTGTACTTTTACACCAGTGATTCCACCGTGCTCTTGGGTATTTACTTGCATTTTGAGACTCACTGGCTACGGTACCGAGTGCAGCACAAGGGATTCTTGTTCTTTCAGTTCCAACGGGGCTCCACTTAAAACGAGTCCCGGATGCTCCAGGGAAAAGATACGACTCAGCATGACTCGTTCGCCTTGTTTTGAGGTGCCCAATGAGTGTGGCATGTTTCTGCGAGGCCCCTGCCAGTGGCTCCTGCCCGTGTTTGTCAGGCCTCGTCATGATAGGTCTTCATCATCTTGAAAAATTTGATGATGTCCTCCAGCGGCAGAACATGTCTCTCGCCATAGTCCCTTGGTTACTCATGACTAGAATTGACCCATGGGGAATGAGGAACCCTGGAGCCCCTGTCTTGACTGGAATCGATGCTCCTGCACCTCCTGATCATCGCATCGCGCTGAAAATTTGTCGGATAGTACAGTAGCGTGTCTTGGATTCTTCTCTAGCAAGATTGCTGTCCACATATGTCCAAAACGCCTGTCTTCAGGATTCAAATTAGAGGATCAATACTGCACCTCAACCCATTGTGTACCCATCAGGTGCTTGAACATCTCCACACTCATTCCACCATGAAAAACGGTTTTCGGTTTCAGAAACGCCAACTGACCGGGTCGCCTCGAACTCCATGGACAGCAAGGAGTCTTTCAGTACCTGGACGTTGCATGGCCGCAACTTCGGTCGTGTGCAGTGCACCAGCGGAAGAACTCTCCAATGACTGACTGCTCTTCGAATTAGAGGGCTCACAACGGTCTTCGGCGTATCTCCGGAGCCCCCCCCTCAAAAAAACCTTTCATTGTGGTGTATCCAGTTGATTGTCGGTGAATCTCCTGAAGCCAATCGACAACAACTCACTCGCGTGGGCGCTCCAAAGGGCGCCTGCAGGATGGACACGGCGATGCGCAAGATCACGGGAAGGCCCTCGCACATAATCACATCCCAAAGGATCATGACCTCATTTGGCAATTTTTGACCACCCTCCTTCGGGTTTTCGAGTGGAGGCTGCGGAAGGGCTTCTGCGATTCGAAGTTGCTTCTAGGCAAACTGGGCCTGATATGGCCACATGATAGGTGGTGCACAATTCGCAGCTTCGGTCGTGAGAGAATGCAGGGATGGAATGGAACAGGGATCATCACACGGCTTTCAGGCACTGCAGGTGTTGTCCATACACAAAACGTCCCGCCCATTCATTTCGGCTTACTTGAAAGCCGATCTCCACCATCCCCTCTCGCCGCGCGAAACACGCGCTTGTTTGCGCGAAAATCGGGCCGCGGCCATCGAAATGGGGAAGCAGTTGATGAAGAGAGTGAGAAACCACTGGTGGAGGTACCTGCAAGCAACACTGCAGCGGCCGCCGCAGGTGTGCCGCCACAAAACCACCAGGTCAAAACATGAGAGATGAACAGAAGATCACCATCATCTTTTGAAGCTGGTATGATACTGCGCAGCACCAGAATCATACCCAACTGCCATTCTTTCATCCCAAGTCTTTGGCCAATAACGCGAACCTCTGCAGGATGCTGCTTGGATCTTTTCTTGCAAAGCACCAGATCTCCCTGCGTACGCCCTAGGAACCAGTCACTGGGTCTTTCTTCAACAAGGTTCAGGGCACATGTTGGACAACAATCTCCACGTGAACAAACCGGGCACGACCACGCCGAACACGCACCCTCAAACCGATTGCTCCGGGCCGGCCCTTTTTCGGGTGCCTTCAACGTCACTTCGGTCGCTTCAAATCGTTCAAGTCGATCGCTCCTCCGTTTCCAAAAGTACGTACTCTAGTTAAGGCAGCAACACACGTTTCTTGCTGTTTTTCTCTTTCCTGCGCAGAATGGGTTTTGGACAAACACGTGTGAAACATGGTGCTTTTGCCTTCAATTCAGAGCAGCCTCGTTGAACTGCGTGGAGGTGGCGATTTCGACCCTAAGAGATGCAGGCCTTGGAGCCGAAGTTTATGGCTCCTCACCGGCAGGAGGCAGTGCAAGCGCCCTTGCCCTTCCAGGTTCCTTGCATGGGTTGTCCATCACATGGGTTGTTGCCATCCAAGTAGCGGTCATCTTGCGTCAGGCAGCCTGGGGCGCAAGATAGCTCGCGGCCCGGCCATGGCCACACAGTCAGCAGTGGCACGAGTTCTGGGATAGGTAGACATCAAATTGAACATATAAAGAACTATTGCAGAATGTGGGGATCTGGGGTTTGCTTAACAGGGGTAGCTGCTGGGATATGTCTACCTTGTTACAAAATGGCACGATCTCTCGCCCAAACTTGTGGTCTCCAAAAGCAAAAGATCAAGGCAGAAACCCATCTCTTGTTGACTGACATTCTCTGGCAAATCGAAACATCTTGCTCTCACCAACAGTCGACAGATCTTACAGCCACACACGCCCAAAAAGTTTTTAGGACCAAACCACTGCTTGCGGAGTTTCAATGAAATACATCTATGCACAGTTGGGCAGCGCATGGCAGCGCACTACAAGCCAAAAGAATTCTGTGCTGACATGGCAAACGCGCTCCCTCAAATCCTCCACTAATCGCGAGTGCACATGCCTCATGCAAAGTAATTCATTGATCTTTTACTTTTACTAAGCCACTCTTACACCACCTTAGCCTTGGACTGAGAAAGAACCTATGCCAGCCTTGGCGTATCCCCCCACGTGCTTCAGGTGACCACAGTACCTCATGTCCAAGCAACTGTCTGATCCGATGCAAGGGTAGCCCCCGGGCTCGTCATCCCACTTGTAGAACCTGAACCAGTCGTACTCACTCGTCATGGGATAGCGGTTGTTGTGGATCTCCTGAGATTCAGCGGAGGCAGGAGGGCAGGACGGAAGGCAGGACATGTGCAGTTCCTCCGTTCCTCCCCCAAAACCCACCCATTCTGACTCAGGCGAAAGCAATGACTCAGGCGACCGTCTAACCGGTCATGGACTGCTCCACATGCGTGTTGGTTCACCTCACGAACACCCGCCGGCGACTTGCTCTATTGGACCCCTTCTCCATGTTCGATATGCATGCAACTATACATAATATATATTATATATATATATGTATATTAATATCCATATTTTAATATATATATATATATATGTGTGTGTTGAAAAATAAACATGTCTTTCAAGTGACAAGTTTGGTCATCCTTCACAAGTCCATCACCACAGAATCAGAATCTGCATGCTGCTACTTTCGTTTCAAACAGGCAGCTTCCGTTAGCCTCTCTCTTCTCACTGTTTTGCCCATGGGCGAGGACAGCATACTCACATTGTGAGATTTGAGCAGTTGAGTTGATCGAATCGCTGGCAATGATTCGAGAACAAATACTTCAGTCCTCAAGCATAGCCGCGTAAAAACATGGCTGCGATAGTGGCTGCGATGCAATCTTGGCAACCATGCAAAAGCTCATTTGTCAATGTGGGTATCCCCAATGTGGGACACCGAGTCAGGGTCACGTGATCCGCATTTCGATTATGATACAGTAGTGCCTTTGCAGATTGCGACTCCGCAGGTTGATGACTTGACCTAGAGTCGCAACCTGCAAAGGCCCTGTATATTCTCAATGCGGACGCACTGAGCGACTCGGACTCGGTGGCCACACGGAAGCAGACCTGCTCTGCAAAGGATGAACACCCAATGTGGGTCACCGAGTCAGGGATGGCCACACTTTCCCAAGTGCGATGAGGACCTGTGCTCTGTTGACTCCTCTTCAGTGTCCACGGATTCAACGGAGGTAAACACCAAAACACCTCGCGCTGTCCATTCGAATGTTCTCTCTCTGCGCAGGGACCGCTGGTCTGTGACCTCTGCGCGGCGGGCGCTCTCCACGCTGCACTGGGTCGAAGAGGCGCAGCGATAAACCATGGAGCGAGGCAAAAAAATCCACAATCCACGGTGTCGACACGTGGATCGGACAAATAGATCAAACATGTAGAGATATATGAGATATGTAGCTTGCGGCCATACACAGAGAGCAGTCAGGGAAGGTAAATTGATCGGTAGTAGCCAGTCTGATCCAGTCTGTCTTCAAAGATCAGGTCGGCTGTACAGAAAGAAGATCCTGGGATTCAATTTGAACCTGCACCGTTCAACAATCGAGGGTTGCTCGTGAACCACGAGCAGAAGTCCACATGAGAAAAAACGTTGGGAAAGTGATGTTTCCACTTAGTTGGCTCAGTGGGAGGAAAGAACAACACGAGACTTAGCCGTTTACTTGCTCTCGGCACAAGAAGCATCGACATTCACTCCAATGTAGAGCAGTGAAGCTCACCCTCCCAACTCTTGTATTTTCATCCTGTTTGTTCAAGGCGGACTAATTACCGGATCAAAGCATGGATCACCAGGGCGGTCATTTGACGAATGTGAGGCGCATTATGGACTTGATCGACTTGCTTGCATGAGTATGCTTGGCAATGATCGTTTGCTGAAAACAAAGATCCAGTCACAAATTCATTATGCTAGGATGCTAGACACTGCTTGTTTATCACTGCAAGCATCACATCATGTCACACATTGCAATGAGCTACCAAATGGATGGCGAATCTTTCGGCTGTGGTTTTCCGTCTGGGTGATTATCTTCAACCTGGGTGGATCCCGACCACGGGTCCCGAACCGCTCACCCCAATCTGCCCTCGCCCTAAGCCCGCCCTTCCCATCCCTCCATGCACGATGCCCTAACCCGCCCATGGGGGGGTCCATGCCGCTATTCCTCTTTGCCGAAGGTCTTTTCCTCCAAAGTTGGCCTTGGGCCCGAAGATCCACAAGTTCATCATGATCTTCGCCGACTTGTCCGGGATGGGCGGATGGCCCCCGTAGTGGGTCCGGACCACCTTGCCGTCGATGAACCAGGTGACCTTGTTGGGCAGCCATTCAAAGCCTCGGCCAACACGGAGCGTTCGCACCTTGCCGCGGTTGAGAAGGAAACAGGATCAAACAGGTGACTCCAGAAACTGACCCTCCAAAGCAGTGAATTCCATGCTTTTGTTTGCGGCAGTGAGACTTCCTGCACCCGAAAACCTACAGCAAATACGAAACGAGGGGTTTGAAGAATGATGGCTGAGTGCTCTAGATGTTGTGGCTCTGCTACAGTAGTGTCTTCCATGGAACAAAGCGGTTGGGAGAGGCGGGCGAGGTAACCGTGTCACCTAGAAAAAAGGAGCTCAAAAACAGTCAAGTCGGCCAAAAAACAGTCCCAAACTCCGTGGAAAAGTGAAAAACAAGTCAGAGAGAGAGAGAGATATAGAAATGGCAGAGGGGTTATGAGTCTGGTGTGCTTGAATGTTCAAACTGTCTTCGTTAGTGCTGATGATTCATGCCCCGCTGTGGTATTCCAGGCGAGGAATCGCACCTCTGTGAGGTTCTAGGCTTCTCCACAATCTAATGCTTCTATTGCCATGACAGCAAAGCCTTCACTTGTTGTCACCATCTCTTGTTCCAAACCTTTCCGTCTTTGCATCTCTGTTGGCCTTTAAATATGAGAAACATCGTGTCTTTTTTGCTCCACACAGTCTGAAAATTATCCCTTTCCCCTGTCCCCTGAGGTCATCGGTGTCATTCTCCCGCCACTTCGTTCCCCAAGTGGCCATAGGTGTGGAAGTCCTCCCGCGCGTTTCCTCAGTGAGCAAAGGGCCGAAATCGGCTACATTGCGGCTACATGTCTTAAAACGGTCCCAAAAGCAAAGTATCACCTTGGCAGTTTACATTGATGCATGTACTGATGTACTCCTTGTTCCATGTTCCAAAATTTCAAACTCTTTGAACCTCAAACTGATACGGCTTGGAGCAAGATGTTGCAATCAAGTCTTACCTGCATCTATCCAAAAGTCTTCCGTGAAATCCCGGAAAATTAATCATACTGAATCTCTCTAAGGGCCCCCGTTCCACGCCCTAAATGACATCTCAAAACGATTAAAAACGGTGTTCTAGATGCTTCTGGGGTGAACATCGATCCCTCTTCAGGGCCTCTTGGGACCTCCGATCTTCGACCCAGGCACCTCCCACATACGCCTCACGGGAGGCGGCGATCCGCGGGCTCCACCACTCGGTGTTGTCCGCGCTCAGGACGTTGGTCGTCACCTGGACTCTGTTGCATGTGTTGGTTTCAGAGATCCAGGGGCTCTGCTTCAAGAAGATGCTCTGATTCATCCCAAGAGATCCCAAGTCATTGAGTTCATCTGAGCTGATATCCCAAGTCACTGAGTTCTTCCGGTCTCCGGTGACCTCGATGTCAATTTCTCGCCAGTGGTGGAACCTCGCGCGAGATAGGCGGGCGGCCAGTGGCGGGTGCAGACGTGGCGCGTGTGGAGCAAGGGTCGGTGACGGCGGATGGACTTCAGGGTG